CATGTTCCAAAAGTTTTACGTACATAGCGATAGGCTTTTGGGGAGTGTGGCAGCGCTGTCATCGCGCAAACGAAACACACCGAATCCTAAATCACGCTATGAACATTCCGAATCATAAACAGCATATATAGAACATCTCCGAACTATCACACGCAGTGTTGGCCGCTCCCCGGGCAGAACACCTTGCCCGGTGGGAGATCTCCCCTTTTCCTTCTACAGCCACAGTGAGTAATAGTTAAGTGTTAGGGCAAAGTATTTCTTGCAAACTTGTGAAGCCTGTTTATGCTATTGTTTTTTATGTCAAGGTATTTTTTCAGTTTAATTTTCCTTGGCCTAAGTGTTGGCTCGTACTTGCAGTGGGAGTAGGACTAGTTCGGGCCATATTAAGATTTTTTTTAAATTGTGACTTGTAGTGTTATGCTACTTACATATCATTTTACACTACTTATTTTAAATTTATTTTTCCATTCTGTTTTGATTTTCTGCATTCACCTCAATACTGGATATTTTGCATCACCTTTATTTCCATAGGATCCTGTAACGTTTTTTAAACCATAAGAACACAATAACAAATCATTTTCACTTCGTATTTTCACGCTATCAGCACTTTTTAAATCGGTGTCAATAGAGTCTACCTTTTTCGATCTTTTATTTAGTTCTCCGTAACTCTGCAATTTCGGGCTTCGTGCGCGCTGTTGCGCTACCTTTTTTCCTATATCAATAATATCTCATTTTTCACTTAAATCTTGCCGTTTCTCTATTACGAGCCTGAAACCAAAATTTGACATGTTTTGACATCGTTGTTTATCTGGTTGTCATGGCAATTTTTATTCAAATTCGTTACCGGTCTGATGTTTTACTTCAAAACTTCCACAAAAATACTCTTTTCTTCTTGGCCATTTACAAAAATTTGTTTTTAATTTAAATAATTTCCCGTTCTTATCTCAGATCCGTCGTCGAGCGCGGAGCTCTCTAAAAAAAGTATAAAAGCCGAACAATCGGCCAATAAAGTCGCTGCGCCCTCCTTTCTGCCAAGGAGGGTCGCGTTCGTATACGGCTTAGAGATTTCTAGTCAGATCGTTAAGCCAATTCCTAAAAGGTTGGGTTTAGTGGGTAAAAGTCACCACATAACCACGCAGCCGGCTGCGTGGTATGCTATGAGCATTCCCAACCTCCCTCCCCCGCTTTCCGGAGGGTTGCCCATATTTGCTTCGGGCGCAAAAAAAAACCAATAAAGTCAGTCTAGCTTCAGCTTTCAAACTAGAAGCATCTCCTAAAGGCCTTATCCCGGGGCCGCACTGCCCCGGGATCCTGCAAGCCTCTGCCTTCACCTGAAGTCGTCGCCTAGCCACGCCTACGCCTCCACCTACTAGTGCCCGCGCTATCTTTAGCCGCTGTGCATGCTTGCTTCAAGCGCTGCGTGTGCCTACTCCGGGCGCTGCGTGTGCCTACTCCGGGCGCTGTGTGTGCCTACTTCAAGCGCTGCGTGTACCTACTCCAGACGCTGCGTGTGCCTACTCCGGGCACTGTGTGTGCCTAGTCCGGGCGCTGTGTGTGCCTACTTCAAGCGCTGCGTGTGCCTACTCCAGACGCTGCGTGTGCCTAGATCAGGCGCTGCGCACCTACCACAGGCATAGCCTGTGCATACTCCGTAGCGCGGTGTGCCACCTTGGTCTTCGGGCTCCGTTTCAGTACTCATTTATCTTTGTTATTTTTTAAAAAAAATTGTAATTCACGTCACCCATCATCATCTTCATATTTTTTTTTATATAAAACTGTAAATATCTTTTAAAATTTTAAATAAATTATTCGTTTTTGTTCTATTTTTGTTGTTTCGTTGTTGTTAGGTTAGGTTCTTTTGTTTTTAATTGTCGCTTTACGACAGACTTTCGAGATAACTAATGGAATTTTTCCGGAACATCCAAATTTCTTTTTTCGATGTAGACGCAATCGTGCAATCACCACGATCACCCTAAAATAAATAATTTACTAATTTACTCACGTAAGTCAGAAGATTCAGATATATATATATATATATATACAACACGTAACATAATTGTAGTTTGTTCAGAATCGTTTACTGAATCGATTCCTATCATTTTTAATATAGGTAATTTTTTATCCCAAAAATAATTAAAACTACGTAAATTACAGTCACACTAAATCTGTACAGTTAAAACAAACTGAAATGGATCGTAACTTAAGGTAGTAAGAGTTTTAAGAGTGCAGTTTTATTTGTATTATTACTAATTCTGTCATTCAATAAAAATAAAGAAAAATGAACTTTATTTCAAGCACTTTAAAGTCTTTGCATTCGAGGATTTGTACTGTGACCACAACATTCTTCCGGAATTAGTATAACTAATTTGATAAATAAGCAGTGCATAAAAATGCACAAAAACTAAAAATGCAAATAACTAAAAATTCAGAGTATGTATTATGATTATAACATAATATACTAATTGGGGTGTCTGAGGGTGTGCGTTAATTACGTTACATATTGTATTGGTGTCAAAGGTAATAATAAAAATATTTAAACCCGTAAGCTCAAGGGGTCGCGACATGTTATACTCCCGTTTACTCGCGACCTTAAAATGGCGGGAATTGCAAATTTTGCTATATTTTCACTTTGAGACAATATTTATGGATAAAACTTACAGGAATTCTTGTTGAATGTATAAACTATCGAATAAAATTATTATATTTTTTAGTTGCTAGAAATTGTAATAAAGTTCATAAATTACCCTTTATAGCATAGTAGTAGTATATACTTCACTTTTAGTGCCAAAATTACTACTAATTTGAATTCTACACTTTTGTTTTTGGAGAAATTTATATGAAAATGTTTGGGATTATGTATATTTTTATGTTTTATGTGTTTCTATTCGTTACTCATACCAAAATTTAAGAAAATTAAAAAAAAATTATATTTATCTGTATGACATTTCGAACAATATTTCAAATATATTTTTGTGTCAAGTTATTTGAAATATGTTATGTAACTATTTTTTAGTTACATTTTACACTAAAAATATATAAGAATTGGAAAAATAACACATTTTGACCCAACCGCTAAAATGGGCCTTCTCGATTTCGAAGTACTTTTGGCACTTACTTTTCACTTTTTATGCCACAAATTATATATCTACGTGTTTACTATATTACAAGGAATACAAAAAAAGTATAATACTTTCGTTTTTAGTCCAGACACAAATATAAAATTCTATAAAAAAAGACGGGAGCACCTTCTGCAATGCGACACGTGGAACGCCGAAAGTTCAGAGCATAGGTTCTCTAGTATATAGTCAGTAATCTATGATAGGTTCAGAGTGATTTCTTTTTTTTTTCTAAGAAACATTGCCAGGTTATGGTTTAAAATAAAAGAGCATATCTTTGTCTTTTACTCTATTATTCTTTGGTTTTGTTTAACAAAAAAATATTTTTTTCATTGGGCAGTATTTGGTATCTAATTTGATACCGTCCTGAGCCAGCGGAACACAACGTAAATAAATCTAAAAAAATCTAAATATAATTTCACTCAAATTACCTCCCAAAAGTTCATGGTTGGTACTGCAGTGTCACCTAACCTTCTTTTATTGTCAGCTTGTGGTATGAAATATGATTTTTCAAAATATTCGGAACAAATGGTGCTAGTCCGTTTAGGTATCCAAGATTCCAATGATGACCAATTAAATGTTTATCCATAAACAATCCAGGTGGACTATCTCCACATGAACGTCCGAGAAGAAAATGATTAGGAGTCAAGCCATCTTCAGGACTATCCATATTTATTGAAAATAATGGGCGCGAATTGATCGTATGCTCTTCCTCTAAGAGCAACGTGTGTAAAACTTCTTCTTGTGGAATTATTTCTTAAAGCGTTGCGATCATCGGTGTCTTAGGTAATTGATCTTACCAATCTTTCCCACGCTCTCCCCATATGTGGTGCTCCGGGTGGTATAAATTTCCAATTAATATATTTCTTTAAAGATTCATTTTTCATACTATCGTAACACTTGATGCAAGCCTGTATTAACTCTTTATTCGCAGAAATATGTGAATTTCATCAAAAATATGTGAAGATATCGTATGATATCGGACGTCGGATACCGGCTACCGGTGTCCGATACCGTAGACAGAGAATCCTATTTGCTATCCTGGATTCGCTGTCTACGTCCGATACTGATATCGGATCGGATAATGTGGAAACTACAATCGCTCTTAACGATAAATGCGGCCGAGTTCGACGCATAGACCAATTTTATATTTCTAGTTAGTTTGTGTTTATATTATATAGGTATAGGTGGTTCGTAGGATATCGACCTTAGATGTAGTAAATCTATGGCCACAGATTAATAAATAGCTATGGCTTCGACACGGTTTAGGCTTGTAGAAAAAATATCGATATATCCAATATATCCATATTTTTGATCGATATATCAATATTTTATTGCGATATATTTTATTTCGATGTATCGATATAAAATATCAAGTATGTCAATTACGATATGTTTCGAACACTTTAAGACCATTCAATCTAAAGGCCGGTTTACACTTTGCGAAATGTGAAGTGATAAGTGTTAAGCGTTAACTCTACGCGATAAGTCTCAAGTGTTAAGTAGTCTTTTCCATCTCCGTTTACACAGTGTTTAGGAAGAAGCTCAAAGTAGTGGTACTGTCCGTTGTGCATTGAGATCGAGATTGTATCTGTTGTAGTATCTGATATAGAAAATGAACTCAATTTTGAAATCAATAGGCCTAAGAGATTATGGCAAAGAAAATGGATGGACACATCATTTCTATCAACAACAGAAGTAAATGCATTTTCAGGATTTGACTGATTTGTCACAACAGTTGTATTTGTATTTTCAAGATTTCCATAACTCAATGTAGCATTTTCATTGTATGTATCATCGTTTCTCGAATAATAAGAATTTCTAGAAATGGTTGAAGTTGGAGAAGACGACATAAAATGTGGTTGTGTTCTGTTTCCGACCATTTCATAAATGAAATTGGATGTTTGAGACTGACGGCGGATATTTCAAGCGCAAACCAAAAAGATGATTTTGAATATACTGTTGTGCTTCAATTGCTGACTCCATTGGTAAAATTTTCAATTGAACTGCAACCATTCTTCCAAATAAGTCGAATTCATTCTCTGATACAACAAAGCTGTTGACACTGTTGGCTACATTTTGAGCCTTTGTCAGTAAGTTATCATAGTCTCGTAGCATCGTCCTTTTCCGAGGATTTTTCCCTTTGAATGACTGGCCCGAGTCATTGCTTGAGGTTCCAACTCCTGAAGTATTTTCAACAGCCTTCTCGCCTTCAGTGTTTCTTGTCTCAACATTATCTTCATTGATTTTATCTTGAGACTCCAAGTTCTGTAAACACATAACATGGCATTAATAAATATATTTATTATTTGTTGCAGACTCCTAGAAGTACAGAAGAATGGAAAAATATTGAAGAAGGATTCAGTCAAAAATGAAACTTTCCCTGTTGCTATGGTGCATTAGACGGTAAACATGTCGTACTGAATGCACCAGATGATTCTGGAAGTTATTATTACAATTACAAGAACCAGCACAGCATCGTTGTTATGGCATTAGTAGACCATGATTATTGCTTTTTTTATTTTGACATTGGATGCAATGGACGCATCAGTGATGGAGGAGTTTTCCAAAACTCTAGCTTGAGCCACGCTCTAGAGAATAATTTTCTACCACCAAACCGTGTGATTGTTGCAGATAATGCTTTACCATTGAAAACGTACCTTATAAGAGGAAATAATTTATCTCTTAAGCAAAAAGTGTTCAACTACAGATTATCAAGGGCCAGACGGATAGTCGAAAATGCCTTGGGAAAATTAGGGTGTAAATTTAGAATATTTCTGAAACCCCTCCCATATACTCCCGCTAAAGCTGATAAAATAGTTAGAACGTGTGGTGCTTTGCGCAATTGGCTTAGAAAAACGCAAGGTACTATTCAAAGTGTAACAGTTGATACAGAAAACATCGAAACGGGGAACACCTGATTTCTGGAGAGAGTTTCTAGCAACAGGTATAGTAAACAATGAAAGAAGTTTGCAAAATAGATCATCACAACAAGCTCACAATGTACGAGATAGCTATGCAGATTATTTTATTGGTGAAGGCTCAGTACCCTGGCAGGCAATTAAAAATTTTTTGCCACATATATATCATCAAGCCCTGCACCCGATTTCATAAAATCTTTTACTTTTTTGTGCTCTCTGGAAGAAGGTCGATTTCAAGCTTCGTATTTTGTTGTACGCTTCTTTGGGACCGAAGTCGGGAATTTCCATCGCTTCACTCAGTTTCAATAGGGCCGCATCTCTCAATTGTTTGTTTTTAAATTCTGTGCACTTTACATTGTATAGACATTCATACTTTATGTATTCTTGTACGAATTTTAAGGTATGTTGTTCCATCCACTTCATTTTCGATTTGAACTTGACACTGCGCACTTAACACACATGTGTTTACACACTGATTAGTACAGGCGAACTGCGAGAGAGGGGAGTGGAACAGTACAAGGGGGGAGGTCACTTAACAGCAAAAGTAGACCTCGATTCTATTCACTCGCACTAATCAATAAGCACCAATCGCACTTAACACTAATCAATTCACGCTTCCGTTCACACCTTGATTACTAAACACCTGAACTAATCACCTGAAGTGTTAACTTAACAAAGTGTAAACCAGGCTTAAGGACGAGTAATGCGCTTAATGCTATGAACATGGAGTATAGAGGTAAGGAGAACCATCTCACATAGGAGAATAGTTAAAAAAGTGTCCATCTTTAAGCAGTAAATAACAGTTCGAAAACTTTCCACTACAGTGCTAGAGTAGCTAGAGGGTATGAAATGAACTTAATAGTTGTCGACGGAGTGAAGTGTGCTGAGTTGAGGAATTTAATATTTGATATTTGTTGATAAAACTGCAGTATTTAAAACCTCAACTACTCACGTTGTCTAAAATAATTTAGTAAATATAATAAAAAGTATGGAAAACGGTTTACAGGAAAAACGGGGAAAGCAGTAACGGACTTCTCTAAAAAATTTAAAGCGGCAGATATAAAAGTTCCTTTGTTTATATCCAATGTTAACAAGGAGACATCGGAAAAGGAAATTTGCGATTACATTAAAAATAAAACATCCGAAACAGTTTCACTTTAAAAAATTACAATGATAAAAGAACGTCCATACAATGCCTTTAAACTATATAACCTGTTTTCGGTTTTGCTCTAATAACTCGGGTGCCCCTTATCCAAAAATTTCAAATTGGAGAATGATGTGTCCCCAGGTGGCACATAAGAATCACTAAAAACAATAGCAGGTTGTGGCGACTAATCGAGTGCTGCAAGTGATTTACTGTTTTGCTAATATGAGGAAAAACGCTTTTTTTTACTTGAAAAATTACTAAAAACTGTTTTGCGGCTAAAAATGCACCACATCACTAGATGCGTCTCGTTAATACGCAAATGTTGACACTAAGAACACTGAAATCCGTTAACTTTTTACCACTTTTCGAATTTTTAACTGCGGGAGTTTCACAGTTTCTAGGTGTTCCGCTTTGCTTCCTTGTACGCGCGGGGATAATTTTATCTTCTATTTTATCACCCCTCGGGTGATCCAAAAGTAATGATAATGAAAATAAAACACTGTAATTAAAGTTAAAATAATTATTTATTTTTCAACATAGTCTCCTAACAAATCAATACATTTAGTCCATCTTTTTTCTAAACCCAGGATTCCCTTTGAAGGAAATTCTTTGTCTTGACCCTCCCAAAACGCTTCAACAGCGGCCATTACTTCGCTATCGTTTTCGAATTTCTTGCCTCGGAGGCGTTCCTTGAGCCGAGGAAAGAGGTAGAAGTCACTAGGAGCTAGATCTGGCGAATAGGGAGGGTGTTCGAGCAGTTCGAATCCCGTTTCTTGAATGGCAGCCATCGCAACTGCGGCTTTGTGAGCCTGTGCGTTGTCTTGGTGAAACAGCACTCCGGCTCGCAGTTTGCCGTGTCTTTTTTCCTTAATGGCCTCCCGTAATCTTCTTATTTGGTCTGCGTAGTAAGAGCCCGTAATATTGGCTCCCTTTTCCAAATATTCCACCATAATTATGCCTTGAGCGTCCCAAAAAACAGATGCACTAACCTTTCCCGCCGAACTTGTAACTTTGAATTTCTTTGGCGTAGGTGAGGAGGCTCGCTTCCAAGTCATCGATTATTGTTTCGTTTCAGAATCAAAATGGTGGATCCAGGTCTCGTCCATAGTCACAAAACGGAACAAAAAATTTTCTTGATCTGCTTGGAACTTTTCGAGATTGACCCTCGAAATGTCAACTCGATTTTTCTTTTGCTCGTCGGTTAACATTCTGGGTACCCAACGCGCAGAGACCTTTTTATATTCAACTCGTTCGCATGGATTCTTTGAACGCTGCCATATGAGATCCCTGTGACCTCAGCTACATGCCTGATGGCCACTCTTCGATCTGCCAACACAACATCTTCGACTTTTTTCACGTTGTCTTCAGTGAGGGACGTGGATGGGCGTCCTTCGCGATGTTCATCTTCAGTGGATGTTCTGCCCAGTTTAAACTCCTTGGCCCAGTGTGCAACTGTAGAATATGGAGGAGCAGAGTCCCCCAATGTTTCCACTAAGTCACTGTGTATGTCTTTCGAAGACATTTTTTCAAACAGAGGTTACTTACTTGATGATAGCTCTAATTTCGTTTTTCTCCATGTTGATGTTATCTCTTTAACAGTTCGTATTCAAATGAATGTATCTCCCGGAAATCGTGATCTATTTATATGATTTTTTTAGGCTGACGTAGTAAGTATATAATATATGATTTTTATGCGGACCTAAAGTAACCGATTATCATTACTTTTGGATCACCCCTCGTATCTACTGTGGATATTATACCCATCATAGGTCCATGCTCGCAGGGTGGATAAAACTCTGGCATAGGGATAAGACAATCTTATTTCTAGCTAGCCCGGCTGGTTTGCATAAGTGCATTTTACGATTGTATATTCTATTTCGTTAGATAAAAAATTATTTTATATTTAAATATTTTTATTATTTTATGTTTTTATAATACGGTCACTTGATTATCAGAAATGATGTTTCTTGTTTGATATTTAGGCTAATATTTCCAATATGGACCATCGATTTCAAAGCCCATATTTTTTTTGTAGATAGTTCTCACTAAAAGAAAGCGTTTTGCAAAGTTTTAGGTTGCGGAAACTTACGGTTCATGAGATATATTTTTTTAAACTTTTCATACAAATTGGTAAATAACACAAAATTACAAAATAAATTTGACAAATGATTGATGTCAAACGTCAGTTAGTGTAGGGTTCCGAATATTTTGAAAGTATCGATACCTACTCGATACCAAGTATCGTATCAAAAGTATCAATACTACTTGGTAACGAGTACATTTCGTTAATTTTGGAGACGAAAAATTATGACAAACCAATTAGATGCATAGGAAGAGCTGATAAGTGCAATTATATATGTATATAAAGTAGAATAAAGTTTACAATATTTAAGTTCCACCTTAGTACTTGTATTTCATTGTTTGCAACTTGTTTGTATTTGTTAATTAGTACAGCTTTTGTACTTTTATTTTATTGTTTGCAACTTTCTGTATTATCTAATTCTTACTACAATAAAGTGTTTACTTCCTTATTGACTTACTTATTTAATATCCAAAAAGTACCCAAAACCGAATCAGAGCACCCCACTATCCACGTGATCTTGTCTGCCCTACCCCTAGAGTGTATATAAGAGCCCGGAGGCGCGGAGCCCTAGCGTAGTGAAGCACAGGTACCTGAGCTCGCCTTCGCAGCTGCGGCTTTTTGGTCGCCTTCGGCGACCAGCCTCTGCCGCTACGGCGATCTCGGTGCCTGCGCTTCCCTACGGCGGGCGGGCACTGCTCATCCCGCAGCGCCGGAGCTGCCACGGAGCGCCGGAGCACAACTTCCCGGCTTCTTACCCCCCTAGTCTCCAAAATTAACGAAATGTACTCGATACCAAGTAGTATTGATACTTTTGATACGATACTTGGTATGAAGTACGTATCGATACTTTCAAAATATTTGGAACCTTACACTAATTGACGTTTGACATCAATCATTTGTCAAATTTATTTTGTAATTGGTGTAATTGCGTATTATTTACCAATTTGTATGAAAAGTTTAAAAAAATCTTTCTCATGAACCGTAAGTTTCCGCAACCTAAAACTTTGCAAAACGCTTTCTTTTAGTGAGTACTATCTACAAAAAAACAATTTGGGCTTTGAAATCGATGGTCCATATTGGAAATATTAACCGATATTTATAGAAATGATAATACGATAATAAAGATTTT